AAAAAAAACGAAAAACGGGAATGAATCTTCTCGCTTTCACGGGAAGATCCATTCCCCTTTCTGAATAGACACTAGAAACGCCCGCGCGTGAGAGAGAGAGAGGGGTCTCTCTCTATCTCTCTCTATCTATCTATCTATCTATCTATCTATCTATCTATCTATCTATCTATCTATCTATCTATCTATCTTTTCCATGTTTCCTAAAGTAAATCCCATTTTTCTGCCTTTTTTTTTTTTTTTTTTTTTTTTCGTGTTCTTCTCGAAGGACGTTCGGGAGGTTAGCGCCCGGTAGTTCGAGCCTCCGCAAGGCTCGGCATACCGGTCGGTTGAGGCTCGGACGTGATAACTGGGCCAAGTACTGGTGGTTTAATTCGTGTAAGTAGGACCTAACCCCCGATAGGGAGCAGCAGGGGAATACTGGAGCGTCTCTGCTGCCGCTCTCTGGTGCCTCGTACCCGAATCTCTATTCGCTGCCTAATTCCAGCACGAAGATTGAACTCCTCCCCCACCAGATATGAAGCATGGTTGCACTGAGCTAAAGAGGCCTGAGTACTTCATTGAGGCAATAGAAGGGATGTGGCTGCTATTTTAGAAGGGTTTTTTTATTTTTTTTTATTTTTATTTTTTTACTTCGCGTCAATATCTTTCCCATATCTCGGCCGTGGGCAGTGTCGGAAGCCCGAAACAAAAAATCGGCCACCAATTCGATTTATCAACGGTGACCCTCCCCATCTTGGCTACGGCGTTACCTGGCGCATCTTAGATTTCAAGCGGGGAGAGGTATTGGTGGTTTAACAAATCGAGGTCAGGGACTTCATAATCCTACCGGAAATCTGATAGCATCAGTGAGCTTAGCTTATATATAGGCTTTTATATGCATAAAGTCATGGATATTGACTTTCCAAACAACTATTGACATACTCACTATGGTGTTTGCCACACCACTATCGAAAACATGATTTTCAATAGTAGCTCTTGGCCACACAGCCTGTCGAAATTGGAGACGGAAAAAAAAGTCGCAAGTTGTCAAAGAATGTTTCTCGACACCTCCTTTCGAAAGTTGTTGAATCCTCAGCCTGCTACTACTCCGATGCTTTCAACAATCCTCGGCTGCGCGATCGGCTTCGCCTCAAAATTTAGTGAGTTGCCGTAAGGTTTGGATTGACTAATGTTTGTTGTACCCTCAAGTTTGTTCATCTTTTTCCATCTTGCGTTCACAAGTGTGTCCATTCACAGTGTTATGTGGCTAAAGGGGGACCAACTGTCGAATGGAGGTTGTTGGTTTTATTCTGACAGTCGTCGATTTTTTCAGCCATCCGACTGTGGTATGGCGAGCCCCTATATCTTAGCTTCTCTCAAATACAAATTATTCTTACATCTCCAGAATAAGTAATATTTTATGAGGATGATGTGAGCAACAAAGCATAAATGAATGTGATTGAAAATATACCAATAATACAACTTATACAAAAGGTGTGTAGATTAGTTGTAGCCTAGCTACGGTTGTACTTCTTATGGGACTAACACAACCCGGAGGACCAGAAACTGGTCTCGTCCTACTGACACTCACCTACCAGCCCACATTGGCACTATTCAACCAAATGTCCTGGTTGGGAACTATGCTACCACTCCTTCACTAAGCTTAACTACATATTGTTCATATGTCTTTCCAAGTTTTACCCCTATCTACGCAAAAGTTGAAAGGACCAATCCTTTAGTGGGGTGAATACCAGCCAACTAATGATTTCTGGTCCATGTCCGTACGAACCAATACAACTATCTTGGGTTCCCCTTCCCAGCTTTTGCTTTCCGCCTCCAATCTACCCAGATTGTATGTCTCATGTCTGACTTGATACGCCCTTTAATCTCTTGGTCTGAGAGTGGTCTTTTCTGGAATCTTGATTTGTTCTTGTGTGACAAATTTTATTATTATAATCAATTAAAATATAACTTTTAATGAATGAATGAATAAAATAATATATATTCAATCAAATCAAATGTTATCTTATTATTCATACTGTATTATTTTTTTATTTTATTTATAAATTATATTTATTATTATTAATAATATCAAGGTTTAAAGGAGGTCCCAGGGCAGACCTCCATACGTACGGACGTTCGGGGTCTCGTACGGGGTCCGAACCCGACGGGGTTCGGTCCCCGCCAAAAATTATTTTGGGGCCTAAAAATAATTCGTTTTTTCTGAATTTGTTTTTGTGAGTTTTCTATGTTGTGAGGTACATGCCTGTAAATTTTCAAGTCATTTGGGTAATCCAAATGAGAATAAAAAATCGCCAAAGATGGCGGTGTCAAAACGTGCTCGCCCACATATTTTTTCACTTTTTACTTTTTGTTTTCACTTTAGTTCGGGGTCTAAACAATTTTTTTATTTTTTTATTTTTTTTTTGTGGGTTTTGTATTATGTGAAGTACACATCTGTAAATTTTCAGGGCATTTAGCTATGCCAAAAAAAAAAATGAAAAATCTCCAAAGATGGCGGTGTTGAAAACATGCTCGCGCACTCACTAAATTTAATTCTTTTTTTATTTTGATTTATTTTTATTATTAGTATTTGTTTTTCATATTTTATTTTTATTTCAAATTTGGTAAGGAGTTCGGATGTAATGCTCAGGAAAATCTTGTTTAATTTAGTTTTTTCCATAATTTTTTTTTTTTTTTTTTTTTT